CTACAAAGTTGTTGGTATAGGAGACTGTAAATTCAACTTGTATTATGGTTAGGCCATTTTATTTTGATTTCAGTCTAGTACCCAATACTCCAAAATGAGTTGCAGCTTAGCTTAAAAAAAAAATCAAAAGTTGCACCAATAGTTCAGGTGTTTTAAGCTACCTTAGTTTCCAATTAGAAGGAAAAAAACAGGTTGTACAATAATTTTGTACTGCTGCTGAGCAGTTTTATTTAGACTTTAGGGAAAAGTCCCTAAACAAAAAAAAAATATTTATCGTAATGTAAAGCTGACTTTTTCCACTTTTATATTTCTTTCTTTCTCTGGCTCTTCCCTCCATTTAAAAAGATATAAAACTATTCTGTATGAATTACTTTTTTTTAGATCCAGTGACTTCATCAATGAGTTTCTGTGCTTCTCTAAGTAACACCGTCAGATCATGGCTGGTGGGAGAAGCCAGCAGGGTGCTGTACATAGTTTCCTGAAAGCATCAGGACAAACTGCCTCAGTATAATCTTCTCATGAGCCAATTGTCCTGATGCAAACAGTGGGCTGGCTCTTGGGAAGAGTTATGCAAATTTTAAAACTTTTCTTTTTTTTTATAATAAGTATATATTGAAGAAAGTTTTTGCAAATAAACAAAACAAAAAATAAACAACACAAAAATCCACAAAATAATACATCACAATTGCAGACATTTAGGGAAAGACAATAACAACAGTGACACCAGTGGAGGCACGGCACGCAGCCCAGGACAGGAAGCGCAGAAGAGTCCTCTATGCTCGAGTTCCTGCACCCACGTACAATGGGGAACCAGGCATAGCGTGTAGGGGGAGAGGGCAGATTCACTTTTCTTTATAGGTGGATGTCAGTATGGAGTAGTGAGTGTTCCTAGACAGACTGCATTTGCATGCAGAGAGCCCTCGGTAACAATGACATGTGATGCTGAGCCTTCATGATTAAAATGACTGACATCCAATGAATGGAACAAGTATAGGTGAGGTGCTGGATTCAAACATGAGGTGCTGGATTTAAACATATGGTGGGAGTGATCCCAAACTTCATCACTAATCAGAAGATTGGTTTGAACATGATAAAGCACAATGGTTAAGGTGAGGCAGCTCTCCACAAAAATGAGGTGTCCCTCAAACAAAGGAACCCAGAAATGAAGAGTCTAATGAGTAAAGTCTAATGAGAGCACCAAACAAGAAAGTCCAAGAGTCCAAAAATGTTTCATAGTAGACTTGGTTTGTGTTATCATTAAAAGTTTTTGGACTCTCGGACTGTCTTGTTTGGTGCTCTCATTAGACGTGAGATTAATTGAATGACAGAGGTGGACGAGGAAAAGTCAGGCTGGGGAGAAAAGGGCCAGATTTATGCTGAACATTGTCCAGCCAGGAAATGATATGGGCTCTATATGATTTACTGACTTGCTGGCATATCTTGATTTTTTATTTTTCACATTTTGTTTCAAGTAAACACAAGTCATACAGAGGACAAAGCATTAAAGGAGTTGCAGGACATTATAACAAGCAAGCTCATAATCCAATAACACCTTTGATGCATAGCAATGGTCACCTGGTGGTGATCTCCCACAAAGAGCATGATTACCCAGTCATATATACAGAGTAGAAAACAAAATAGCAAATGTGGTGAAAGAAGACATGGACGAGGTAAACCATGGGAGACCAGCAAGAGGGCTGGATGAATCTTCAAGTTCCACATCTACTCACTTTTTGTTCAAGCGGTTACAGCACCAGTCAATAAACCTATTAAGATGTACAAGTTTGTAATAAGAATGGATATCTGGTAGGCCCACTACTAAGTTTGGGCAAGGTAAGTATTTGCTAGCAAACCCTGGGGGACTTATGAGCCCAAATAAAGGTGGTGAACAACTTGCAGAGTTGGCCAAAAAAGTGAATCGGTAATCAAATTGGGATAGATTGCAATAAGTACAGGATTCTGGGCAGCACTGCATTTTAATTAAACATTGAGAACCCTAGAAGTATTAGTCTCACGCCTCGTGTGAAGGTACAAAACCTAACAGATCTACACAAACGAGTTTCTGCATGCAGAGCAGTAGCCTGTTCACCAAGATCTTTGAGAAGAGTTTCAAGTCCACGTTGAGAAGCGCCATAGGGCAGAAGCTACCACATTGAGATGGGTCCTTTTCTTACATAGGGATAATCTCAATGTCGGCCATCAAGGAGTCCACAGGTAGCAGTGTATCCTGCAAAAATAAATTAAATGCCATTAAAAAGTGGGAAGACAGGGTTGGGAGGAGTAACATGTAGCAGGGTAAAGTAAAACCCATCTGGTCCCAGAGTCTTACCAGATTTAGTCAGTTTGACAGATTGATTGAGTTTCTCCATGAAGATGGGAGCTTCCATAGTCAGGGATGCCACGCTAAACCATGAAATGTAGTTACGCAAGGCCGCCAACCTGTTGTCAGGGGGGTACGGCTGGGCCATGAGTGGAACCCCTTGGCAGGGGTGCCAAGCCAAAGTCCGAGGTCGTGGTACACAGGGAAAATCCGAGAATAGTCAGGTCTAATCCGGGTCGATGCAGGCAGCTAGTTTCAGTAACGGAAGGGTAAGCCAAAGGGTCGGTATTCAGGAGTCCAAGCAGAGGTTCAGGAATAAAGACAGGTTCAAGGCACAGGGAGCTGAGAGATCACACCATAGGGATAGAATAACTCAGCAATGAGCCAGGGCTCTGACTGGGCTTTTATACTCAGTGGAGGATTGAGACCACTCCCCGGCTACCGAGGCAACCAGGTAGCCTCTCCATCAGGAGCCAATGGCGAGAGAGGGGCAGAGGGTGTGTGCTGGGAACCTCCCCCAGCAAGGATCACACCTGACGCCAGTAACAGGTAACTACGTGCTCGTCCCCGTGCGTGCAGCCTGTCCACCCCGCACGCGCAATTGTTGCGCATTGCGCGCATGCGTACCCGCAATCCTGGTAGCAAGGGTCCTGCCAGGAAGGGGAACCCGTGCCCCCCGCCGCACATAGCCACCCCGAGGAGAGGTAAGCCCCCTAGTACCTGACACCTGTTGAGGTGATTATTGGAGGCCTGATCTGGGTGTAAGTTGTATAATGTCTGGTAGAAACACCAGAATTCAGTGGCCATATGGGGTGAAAGAGGTATCACAAAGAAATTGAGAGGAATCTCCAGTAGTGGTGCAAGAATATAGTACTAAATAACTCACAATCACAATAAAACATCAAAGAAGAAAGAAAAGCCAGAGAATGCAGGATAAGGCTCATTATATGCATACAATCTGGCTCAAGATGTTCTTCCCAACATCCATTAACCAACCCCACTGCTTAGGGTATGAACTCGTGTATGGCAAGCCTTAGGCCCTGTTCACACCAGGCCTGAATTGCTCCCTTATCCTTTTTTTTTTTGATCAGTAAGGTTTCCATACTGCTTTCAATGGAACCGCGCTATTCAGCGTGGTTTTGGGCACTTTTACTTGTGTTTCTGCGTAGAAACCGTGCTGATTCGCAACCGCCCTGGTGTGCACGGGGCCTAAGTCAGATGACTTAAGTTCAAAGTCTAGTCAGTGCATCATGGTTGCAATGAATTCAGTGCGGCAAAATCCTGCATTCATTCTACATACCTCTAACATGCAGCTTTTGTCTCAAACACATGGTGGCGGTGAACCTGAACTTCATCCCTATTCAACAGACAAGGCTGACAATGCTGTTTTTTTGGATAGGGAGAGAGAGAACTAGAAGGTTTGACAGGTTTTTACTGCTAATTAGCTCCCAGGTAGAGAGATTCCTCCTTACTTCCTGACTGCAGACATTGAGAGAGAAAGTAAGGGGAATATCCCTAACTGGAGAACAAAAATAAACTGACCCAGAGCTACTTAGAAAAAAATATATTGCAAAATTTCTTACCCGGAGATCCTGCCAGCAACAGCACTGCCTGTTGCAGGCTGAAAACGCTGTGCTGCTGTCCAGAAAGCTGATAACATTACTGTTAAGTGTGAGACAGCGACTTGTAGCATTGTCAGTTTTCAACAGAAACTGATGTTACAGGTAGGATATCCAGGTAAGCAATTTTGCAGCAGGTTCAGAAAACATTCTTTGCTTACAAAAACTGTATACAGTGAGGCATGATGTCAAATATACTGAGCGTTAAGTTTAGAGTTTACATGCACTTTAGGAACAATCAGGGCACGGTTACCTGTTTGCTTAATTTCAGCTTCATAAAGTCCTGAGCTAAAAACTATTGTGCCTGGCATGCAAAACTAACACACCATCAACTAAGTCGTAGCAGTTGTATTATAAGATTGTAGGTGATAATCCTAATGCTTCTGTCCAGATTTTCTGGGTTCTTTATAGTACTTTGTCAAGGGTTTTACTTTTGTTTTATGTTATTGGCCAACTTAACCTAAATAGTTCCAGATGGGCATTGGTAAGTTAACTCGACTACCAACTCTTGGAGTCTCTTGTGTGAGTTTTGCCAAGAATGGCCATGTCCCGCTCCTCCCACAAGACCCCAACCTTTGAATGGCTCTCTAATGTCTGCATTCCACAGTTATCTTTTTCTTTATTCTACTTGAAATAAAACCTATTTGTGGGAGACTGGCACCATAACATACTGTAGCTTTTGTAATGCCAATGGTAACTGAGCATACCCAGTACGCTTAATGGGTATTTGAAGCTAGTCAAGTCCCAGAATGCAAATCAACTTGTCAGAAAAAAATACAAAAAAGGAAATATCAATGTTAGCCAACATTTGGCTATAATGTGACTTTCCACTTTTTTTTCTTTGGTTGTGTTTGGTATTTGGATTTGTTTATATTGAACACTGAGTTGTCTCTGTTCTTTTTGTATTTAGGTATGAAATGAAGTCATCACAACAGCCATCATCTCGTTATCAATATTTTGCTATATTCCTCATCCAAGCTTTTGTTTCCTTTTTGCTGTTTAGTTATAATCAGTTTAGTAATAATCACATCATTAATAGGGGTTCCAACTGCACAAGTCCCATGGCTCCCTATAAGTCTGAACCTGATTTCATTCTCTTGTTATGGACGTGGCCTTTTGGTCATCAGTTCCCTTTAAATAATTGTCCAAAACCCTTTGATAGTCCTCGGTGCCTGCTTACAGCCAACCGTAGCTTGTATAACACGGCAAATGCAGTCGTCTTTCATCACAGGGATGTATGTGGATCCAGAAAGCAGATGCCTCAGATGCCAAGGCCTGAAGGACAATATTGGGTGTGGTTTAACTTGGAATCTCCAAGTCACAGTCCAAACCTGAGCTTCATGGACAAACTCATCAACCTCACAATGTCCTATAGAAGTGACTCTGATATCTTCACTCCTTATGGATGGTTAGAGAAGATTGAAGTCGCTGAAAACTATACAATCTCAAATAAGTCTCAGCTGGTGGCTTGGATTGTCAGTAACTGGAATCCGAGTTCCAGACGGGTCAAGCTTTATAACGATTTGAAAAATCATATACCTATAGATGTTTATGGTAGACAACATCTACCTTTAGCCAGGGAGAGCATTCATATGGTTATCTCTAAATACAAGTTCTATTTATCCTTTGAGAACTCAATACATACAGACTATATAACAGAAAAACTCTGGCGTACTGCTTTTCTGTCTGGATCTGTCCCGGTGGTTCTTGGCCCACCCAGAGAAAACTATGAGAGATTTATTCCATCTGATTCATTCATTCATGTGGATGACTTCCCAAGTGCAAAAGAGCTGGCTTCCTACCTGCTTGAACTGGACAGAAATGATCAAAAATACCAGGAATACTTCAAATGGAGATCAAAACTGAGGCCAGTGGCAAATGTTTCTTGGATTGTGCATTACTGCCATGCATGTGTAGAACTGCAAAATGCCCCTCCATATAGAACCATATTTAGTCTTGGCAAATGGTTCACATGACAAATAGATATGATCATTGTTATTAATGTTTATAAGATACAAAGAGCCTTGCATATGAGTGACTGAACAGAAAATAACAGTTGCCCATGTAAACCGATAATGAGCCTCCCTTTTAAATTTTTAAGCCAAGCTAGAAAGTCAAAGGTTGAATCAAATTTGCATACTACTCGGAACACCGTGGTTAGATATTGTCAGCAATGCTTTAAATCTGAACAAACAACTTAATAGATATATAGGAGCAGATTTACATGCCTTCTATTTCCATTAAATAGCAGGCATCTTCAGAGGTATATAAGGGCCTTCTGATATATCATAGAGACACTAGGAAGCCCCCAACCCCAGGGCATTCTCTTCTGTAAATCTCAAATTCGAGATGATGTCAAGGCATGGCCCTGCACTTTACCACTTTCTGTGTGCCTCTATTGGTCCATATCTGTGATGGGCCTCCTCATTGACCAATAATGATGCACAGAAAAGGGGGAGGAGAGGGCCAATCGCTAACCAGTTTCAGAAGTTTACATTTACCTATCCCCAGGTTTACCAAGCCCTGCCCACTCTAGAACATAGAAGAAGCTACCTATGTTTACCTGGAGGTGCCCACTATTTGATGAATGTGGCAGATTTAATACATAAAATGAGTTCATATACATTGTAAATCTAGTCACCGGTAGTTACTACACCTAGTTTTCTTTGTTTATTAAAAGAAAAACCTTTACTTAGGAAAATCTGTTGTCTAACATTGCTTACCTCACCAACTCTTTACAAAGACTAATACAGCATAATCACATTTAATGAGACCCTGTCACCAGATCAATGTTACATTAGGCAGATAAAGCCAATGCTTCAGGGCCTCACAGAGTCCATTCCACTAGGAAAGATAGTGATGTCTTCAGGAAGAGACCCAGTGTGGTCCCAAAATGTCGGTTTTATCTGACTTGTGTGGCATTCCACTAAGAAATGTGTTAATAATTGCATTGCCACTCTGGTGACATCTCCTTTTTTCAACTGCGATTTTGCATGGCACCACCTGGTGCAGTCACTACAAGCGCCCATCTGTTACACCTGTGGAACACTGCAAGGAGAGCAGTTCAGATCTACGTTATTTAATTACAAGCAGGCTGTCATCTAGACAAACTGTAATTTATGCAGCTATGAGAGATGTCATTGATACAGATATGATAATATGATTTATAAACACTGATTTACAAAGTACTGTAATGATTGGTTTAAATACAAATGTCTGTGTGAACTTTCAACAATTTTTCAGGACTATTTGTAGTAAACTTTTTAAAAAAAGGATTGGATCTTTCTAACATTGAGACATAAAACAAATCCAGCGCCACCGAGTGTACAGACCAGAGAGTGAGTTACTAGACCAAGACTAACCAAACCCTCTGCAAAAAAAACAGCATCTCCACCACTAGAAAATGTAAAACAATAAGCAAAAGATTATTATTATACAGGATTTATATAGCGCCAATAGTTTGCACAGCGCTTTACAATATAAGGAAGACATTACAGTCACAATACAATTTAAGACAAGATGGTAAGGAGGGCCCTGCCCGTGAGGGCTTACAATCTAAAAGATAAAGTGTAGTGAAAGTACTAGAAACATCAAATCACCCATAGAAACCCAACAAATGTTAAAACCCCTAAAAGTTAAAAATGAATGACCCTTTCCCAAAATATAATCAAGACCAGTCATCTAAAAAAGAGGGTGACAAGCCAGAGATCATCTTCAATAAGAATCATGATTTGGTGTGACATCGGTTATAAGTGATCTAATGCAACACAATTATACAATATGTAAAATATGCAGAGGACAACAGTACAAATACATATTTCCTTATCATTCAATAAGACGCACATGGTCAGAAGGATTCTGAGATGTTTAGGTTATTTTGCTGCATACAGGAAAAGTGGACACATTTGGCAAACAAAAGATGTTAGTCAGCCAGGATATAACCCCTCCCACTGCCATCATGCTTTAGTTTTTTGCTATAATCCTTAGGAGAATAGACCCCTTTTCTCATCAGAGAGAAGAAACCCAATTTTACTTAACATTCCTTTATTAATATTAACATATTTTTATATTTTGTAAACTGCAGAGCCATTAGAGCTTATTTTTTTATTTTGCAGTTTTCAGGCTCGGATGATCCTCGACACTGCCTTGGAGGCTGTACCCAAAGTCTGCCATGACGGCAACGTAGGTATGGGCTATAATGTGCCCCTTGGGCATTGGGTCCTGCTTGTGGCGCTCTCCAGACACCGAATGTGCTGCATTAGTTAGTCACAGGATGCTTTACAGGTCGAGGGCCTTGATACACCACCTAGTGGCATCCTGTCCATGTAGACTCACCTAGTAGTATGTGTACCTGAGGGGTAAAGACTGTCTCAACTGAGCAACTGGCCCCTGCATTAGCACTTTCTGGTATTAACTACTATGTCTGTTTGCCGCAGGGTGCTTTTTAAGACCAGTGTGTGGAAAGTTTCTGGGGTTTTGCTCCTTTTCGGGAGTCTGACAGGTAATAATATTCTCTTACTGCCCCTCTACGGGGTTAATGCTTTAGATTTTAGTGCTGTAACATTTTTAAAAATGTGTCCCAACATTCTGAAAGAAAGGCGCTGCATCTCTAAAATGTGTTGCACATACAGTACCTTAAATTTGTTACTGCATCACACCAATGTGTAACATATGCCCCCTAATAGCAATTACTGCACCACTGCAGCTGACTCTAGCTTTCCCATCCTCTCAGCCTGAGGTAAATTACAGCCACACACAGGCCCGGATTCCCCACAAGGCCACCGAAGCCTGGCCTCAGGGCAGCAGGGAGTGGAGGGGCGGCAGCAATGTTGAATGCCCGACGCACGGAACATGCAGTTCCGGGCGCCAGGCAGCAAGAGTTTTTTCTACATTTAGCCCTGCATTGGGAAAGCAAGGCTAAATGTAGTGTGAAGCCGCTTGTTCGTCGTCGTCCCCCCGCACCTATGTCTCTCCTCGCTCGGCCGCTGAGTCTCTCACTGGCCGCCGTTGTGATGAGCAGAGCGGCAGGGTTAAAAGTAACCCTGCAGCTCCGTGTATACAGTGAGAGGGGAGAGCTGTGCTCTTCCCCTCTTTGCTGTCACAGGAGTTCCAGCACAGTGCTGTGCTAGAACTCCTGTCCTGGTGGTGACAGGGTCAATAAAGAGAACCTGTCACCTCCAAATGCTGTCACACAGGGGTTGTTAGCTCCTGTGTGATAGCAATAAAGTTAAGTGAAAAAAATTAATTAAAAAAATTATTATATAAATAAACAAATTAGTACAAAATAATAAGAAATAATAATTAAATAAAAAAATTGAAAGGTGATTAAAAAAATGAGAAAATAATAAGAAAATAATTATGTAGCACCCTACTTATAGGGGTGTTAAAATAGTTATATAGTCTATGTTCAGTTCAACTGTGACAGAACAATCTGTGAAGCTGTGTCTGCCTGTGGGTGGGTGTGTTACCACACAGGGCAGAACAGCCAATGAGGATTGCTATGTGCATTTATGTCTCCCAGCCAATCACTGTAGTACAGTAGCAGTGATGCATGCTGGGAGAGGAGATAAATGCTGAGTGTGGCTGATGCAACAGTCTCTTCCCCTCCCCAGGGCCCTCCTGGCCTGGGGCAGGATGCCTGCTGCTGAAGAGATAGAATGGACTAGGCCTGAGCTGGGGTCTAGACCTGGATACTGGGGCCTGAGCCTGGAGGCCCAGTGGTCTGCCACTCATGTCTGAAGTTGAGCCAGAACAAGACCCTTGACAGTACTGCTTGCCAGAAGTTCTCCACACAGATTGCCTCTATGGCTTAAAGGTCCAAGTCTGTGGTGGCAGCAGTTACTTTGCTCTGTTTCAAGTACAAGGAGTCTACCTTCATGCTGGATGTGCCTGACCCTCTTCCCTCTCTCCCTGGAGTTTAGAAATAAAAGAGAATCATCTTGGAGCTATTGTCTGGACTTCAATCTGTCGGTAACCACTGGAAGTGGTAAGTGCTATTGGGGCAGCCATGTGTTTTTAATAATCCCTAGACAGGCTATGGAAGACCCGATCGTTCAGCGGCTCCTTCTGGGGTGATCCCTACAATTATAAAAAATAAACAATAATAAGATCAAAAATTATAAAAATAAAAAAAGTAAACGATAAGAGAAATAAAAAAAGTAATAATAAAAGTAAGAAAAAAACTATTACAAAAATCTAACACTGCCGCCCCTGCCATCCGGTTGCCATTCTCCATTG